ACTCCGAGTCACACTATGAAAGTGAAAGGAGAGATAGTTGGTCGTGAGGTGGTGGTGCTGATTGATAGTGGGGAGACCCACAATTTCATTTTCAACCAGATTGTTGAGCTGTTGGGAATGGAGTTGGTGGATACAGGAGGCTATGGGGTGATGATGGACACGGGAAAAGTGAAAATGGGTAGAGGAGTCTATAGAGGGGTGGTGCTGAAGATTCAGGGGATCCAGGTGAGGGAGGACTTCCTTCTCTTGGAATTGGAAAGCACTGATGTCATCCTAGGAATGAAGTGGCTACAGACATTGGAGGAGACCAAGATCAATTGGGGTACACTGAGGATGGAGTGGGTGGTGGGAGGAAGAAGGAGAATAATTTAGGGTGATGCCGGACTGACCAAGGCAGGGGTTTCTCTCAAATCCCTAATCAGAACCATTCAGGAGGAGGGAGGATGCTACTTGGTAGAGTTGCACCGCCTATAAGGGGTCAGGTTAGAGGAAGAAGGAAATGTTCCCGCTACAGTTCAGCCGCTCATACATAATTTCAGTGAGGTCTTTCAACCTCCCCAAGGGTTACCTCCAAAGAGGGAGTTGGAGCACGCCATTACGTTGAAAGAAGGGGAGACCAATCAGCGTCCGCCCTTACCGCTACCCACAGATTCAGAAAGATGAGATTGAGAAGTTGATCCGGGAAATGCTGGAGGCAGAGATTATCAGACCCAACAACAGTCCTTTCTCTAGTCTAGTTCTCCTAGTCAAGAAGAAGGATGAGAGTTGGAGATTTTGTGTGGATTACAGGGCTTTGAATAAAGGCGATGTACTAGACAAGTTTCTAATTCCTGTGATTGATGAGATGCTAGATGAGCTACATGGAGAGTGGTGTTTTCCAATATGGACTTAAAATCTGGATATCACTAGATCAGAATGAGAGAGGCAGATGTTCCAAAGACAGCATTCAGGACACATGAAGGGCATTATGAATTTTTGGTAATGCTCTTTGGATTGACTAATGCTCATGCTACTTTTCAGTCCTTGATGAACAGGGTGTTCAAGCAGTATCTAAAGAAGTTTGTCCTGGTATTCTTTGACGACATTTTGGTATACAGCAAGACCAGGGAAGAGCACTTGGAGCAGTTGAGGATGGTCTTAGAAGTATTACAGGAGCACCAACTGAGAGCCAACCTAAAGAAATGCAGTTTTGCTCAGGCCAGTGTGGAATACTTGGAGCACGTGGTATCATAAGAAGTAGCGGTGGACCAGACCAAGATTGAAGCGAAGCAGAAATGACCATTACCTAGGAACATAAGAGAGTTGAGGGGTTTCCTAGGACTGAAGGGCTACTACAGGAAGTTCGTGCAGGGGTATGGCACCATAGCATGGCCGTTAACTGAGCAGCTAAAGAAATACAACTTTCGTGGGGAGATGCAGCGACCCAAGCCTTTGAGAGGTTGAAGAAAGCCATGACCACAGTTCCTGTTCTAGCTCTCCCAGATTTCAGCCAGGCTTTTGTTGTAGAGACTGACACATCAGGATACGGGTTGGGAGCAGTGTTGATGCAGAATCACAGGCCTGTAGCATACTTCAGTCAAGTTCTATCAACTAGGGCAAGACTGAAGTCAGTGTACGAGAGGGAGCTGATGGCGATTGTCTTAGCCATTCAGAAGTGGTGTCCCCATCTTTTGGGTCGACATTTCATTGTCCGAACTGATCAAAGAAGCCTAAAGTACCTCTTGAAGCAAAGGATGGTGACTGAGGAGCACCAGCGGTGGCTATCCAAACTGTTGGGCTACGACTTTGAGATCCAATATAGGTCAGGGTTGGAAAATAAAGCCGCTGATGCTCTATCCAAATGTGAGGGGGAGCTCCAGGAGTTGGATCTGTCTGTACCCTTGATGGTCGACTAGGGGGCCATCAAGGAAGAAAGCTTGTTAGATGAGGAATTGGGAAAGATCAAAGAGAATCTAAGGAAGGATAAGAGTAGCCATCCTGGCTACATCATTGAGGGGGAGAGAATATTGTATCAGGGGAGGTTTGTTATGCCACGCACCTCCATACATATCCCCTATTTATTGCAGGAGTTCTACGGTAGCGCAATTGGAGGCCATTCCGGAGTTCAGAAGACATACAAGAGGCTAGCAGCAGAACTCTATTGGAAGGGGATGCATAAAGATGTGGAGGAGTTGGTGGCAAAGTGTGAAGTGTGCCAGAGGAACAAATACATGATCATGGCTCCAGGAGGGCTGCTCTAACTATTGACACTTCCAAACAAAATTTGGGAGGAAGTGTCCGTGGACTTCATTGACGGATTATCACGGTCAGAAAGATACACTGTCATCATGGTGGTGGTAGACAAACTTAGTAAGTATGCACACTTTATCCTTTTGCGACACCCCTGCACCGTAGTGTCAGTGGCAGCAACATTTATCAGGGAGGTTGTTAGACTTCATGGGATTCCTGAATCGATAATGACGGATCGTGACAAGGTATTCCTTAGTCAGTTTTGGAGGGAACTGTTCCGATTGCAGGGCACGATCCTCAAGAGAAGCACCTCTTACCATCCACATACAGACGGGCAGACGGAGGTGGTGAACCGAAGTGTGGAGACCTACTTGAGGTGTTTTGTGTCGGAGACCCCGCAGATGTGGGCAAAGTGGCTGTCGTGGGCTGAATATTGGTACAATACTTCATACCATTCTACCTCCCATATGACCCCATTCAAAGGACTGTATGGAAGAGATCCCCCACACCTGGTGCACTTTGGGAGAGGTAGTACACCCGTGTCGTTAGTTGAGCAGTATCTTGAAGAAAGAGACAGGGTACTAGAAGATTTGAAGAAACATCTGATGAGAGCCCAACAGATCATGAAGAAGCAGGCGGATTCACATAGGAGAGACATTCAGTTTGAAATAGGGGAGAAGGTGTTCCTGAAATTACGACCCTACCGGCAGCGGACGGTGGCAAGAAGAATGAACCAGAAATTAGCACCCAGGTACTTTGGGCCATATGAGGTGTTGAACAGGATTGGTGTGGTGGCGTACCGACTGAAGTTACCCCCATCCGCCACTATACATCCAGTGTTTCATGTGTCTCAGCTGAGAAGGGCCATAGGGGAACATGCCACAAGTGAAGAACTTCTAGATACCATGACGAAGGACTTAGAGGTGGTTTTAGAACCACTAGAGCTTGTAGGAGTTCGATCAAACAAAAAGGGCAATAAAGAAGTACTGATTAAATGGAGAGTCCTCCCTGATTTCGACGCCATGTGGGAACCAATTTAGAGAATGATAGATCAATTTTCTTCCTTCCACCTTGAGGACAATGTGAGTCATTGGGAGGGGAGTATTGATATGCCGCCGGCCTAGGAGGGGCCGGCTGGACCGGTCCAGCGTGGACCGGTCCATGTTTACTCACGCCGGAACAAAGAAAGCAAGGGGGCGGGACTTCTAGGTGGGCCAAGCTTGGCTTAAATAATCTTAGGAGGGAAATTTTGAATGTGGGGGGCTGTTTTAGGAAGTGTTTAATTGTCCTTTGTGTTTAATTAGGAGTTTGGGGGGGAATTTGGGATGATATTGAATTTGAATTTTGATTTGAGATCTAGGGTTTGTACTTGGGCTCTTGGCATTGCCGGAGATTGTGGAGAGTACATTCTTCCTCTCGGATTGAAGAACAATTGTATCTTTGTTATTTTGCTTTTGCTTCGAGTGAAATACAAGCCTCTACTTGTGTTTTTCTCTCTGATTTCTCTATTTGCTGCTGTTTTACTACTGTGGACAACAGTTTTGCTGTTGTATTTTTACTGATTTGGGTTAGGATTGCTTGCGAACTCAATTATTACCTTAGGGTTACTTGCGAACTCAAGTAATTTCTATCAGAACACCAATTCCTACTTAGGCGCATTTAAAAATTGAAATGGATGAATTCATACTCAAAACATCCTAAAGAGAAACCAGAGTGCCAAGTTTCACCAATGTAATATTTAAAGCAAGGACAATATCACTAGGGAGACCTTATTTTGAATTTGTGAAGCAACTATGGATTATAGTGTATGATTCTCTTGATATCTGACATACAATATATATACTAGCAATTACGCTGTGTCTTTCTTGTTATAGATGCACTAAGGTGGATATCTTTTGATATTTTGTGTTTTTTATCCATATTTGTTGTTCTTGTGATTTTTCAAAATACTAGGTTGTTTTCTTGTTAGTTTGATAAGGGAAATTCGAGGTTTTTCTTTATATGATATTATCTATACTTGGTTTTGTAGAAAGAACAATGTCTAATTACATGTATGTTTGTACACATTTAGACATTTCAATAGTGGATTGATTTCTTCGTGATGTAGGCGATGGCCAAATCACATAAATCTTAGCATCCATTGGCATACTAGATTTCTTCGTTGTATGCTTCTTGAGAGAATGGAGTCCATTCCATGCACATGCCTTCAAACAATTGAGTAGTTTATTCTAATAATTAAATTAAAATGAACTTTGTGTTTCAATGTAATATTATGATCACAAATGAGAAGAAAGGTTATAAATAGCCAAAGATAATCATTTAAACCACATAAACTTTAATACCTTACAATACTGCAAATAAAATTTGTGTGGTTGAGGTTGTGGTTCTTGCCATATAACAATTGGATGCAAGCATCTAATATCATAAAGCTCACAAAGTTTAACATGCTATGGGCATCAAGCTTGGCGTACAAGTAGACCCCTTTCTTGAGATAGAATTATTTCAATCCTTGCAAAAGACTAGGATGAGGTTTGGGGGAAGACCTACCATGAATTATTGGTGGAAAACTTCCAAGGGTAAGATTATCAAATTCAATGGACTCAATGCAATACTTTCCAATGTATTGGTCAAATATTGCCCTTGTTGAGCTTCTAATTGCATTGCATATTGCCTGCTCATGACCATCAATGAGAAAATAAAGAATTAGTTGCATGATTTACCAAAGTTGATGAATTTGATGGGTGAAAAGTCAAATATAAGAGGTGGATAACCTTATCTAAGTAAGGCCACATATCAAAAAGAAATCTATTCATCCATTCAACCTGCAAATAAACAAAATAATAACATAATAATAGTTTTTCCCATGTAAAAAATACCAAATTTCAATAAAATGAAAAGCCAAAATCTTTATTTGTGCAATTATTTTCATGAAAATCATCATCATTATCATTAGATTTATTAAAACTATTTTGTGGCATAAAAAAGGCATACTTAGCACATGTGGTTCCCATCGATGCAAGTGTCAAGAGAAGACTTGATGATTCATCTTTACCCCCACATTGTAAGGATGCTATTTAAGCATTCAAAATAAATTATTAATATTTTGATGTTGCCACAAAAAAAAAATCTTTCAATAAATTAAAGTATCTAAAGTGCGAACTATACTAATTTAAATTTAGAGACAACATTTCACTTATTTTCCCAATTTCTTATCATGAAAAAAGAAGTACAAAAAACACATTTCCTTTTAGAAACACATTTGTGCATATGTTATGTGCATGATATGCATTTTTTTTTAATTTTCCTTCCAATATAGATTTTTGGCATCACAACATATCATAACTCTTAAAATAGTTCTTAGTTATCCCACGTTTCACATTTTAAGGACTCCCATAAGAATCCTTGGCTGCATACTTTTTGCTTACATGTTATACAAAATATGAACTTAAAACCAAAAATAATGACAGCTTCCCATCGAAGCATTAGGGGCTACTTGGATAGCAGTTTGTACAATGAAATCTATACATGGGGATAATATTCTGAAAATAAGATGTAAACCAATGGCTACTCAGTACTATATAAAAAGGTTAATAAAAAAAAATACTCTTAAAAAGAAAACAATAAATCTAAAATTTCATTATAGAGAAATCAATAGTATTGTAAGTATTGCATGAACATTACCCTATCATAGTCAGGATTCTTCAACCATGCTGGAATTTCAGGTAGAACTTTATACAAGCTTTCCGAATCTAGCTCATTCAGAGGTCTGATGATGGGTTCCTGCTTTCGAAACAAACAAAAGGGGGGAAAAATCAACATCCAAAAAGTGCTAAAATTGACAAATTAATGGGTATTTGTTGATGTTACACAGAGAATAAACAAATCCCGCACAGATGCAATTTCGGCATTATCTTTATAATCCAAATCAGAAAGTTCCTATTCCAAATATGGATTATATTGCAGCAATTAAGACAAATAAACCGCTATTATCCAAAGAAAGAAAACACTAGGAAACGCAATAAAGCTTCGAGAAATAAGCAAACTCTCAAGCCAGTAGTATAAATAATTTATTTGTTAAATTCTCTCATAATATGTCTATTACAATGAATTATGCCCTTTAATTTTGCTTAAAGCCATTTCAACCCGCCTCTACTTTGAAATACTAATTCCACCTGGATCCAACTAATCCAATTAAGGTAACCTTTTTCGTAATCCCCCACAAACAGGCTAAATCCGGCTTGGCAAAACAAAATTACTAAATAACATCTAACTATACGCACCGCATTCAAGTAAAACCCCCCGCAAGAAAAAAAAAAAAAACATTAAAAGCATCAACAACTCAGCTTGGCTTCATTCACGGAGCTCAACATTTGGATCCCATAAAAGGACAAGATCAAAAGCCTACCCCCCAGATGCCAATTCCTATCGGAACAAAAACTATAGAAATAAAGCACCTTTACATCCCCTGGGCTGTAGATGATGAAGAAGAAATATCCGACCAAGAGACCGATCGGGATTCCGAAGCCAAAGCCAATGATTCCAAGAAGAGTGCCCACCAAACCCATCAGCTCTGAGCCACCAATGCATCTAACCGCTCGGAATAACAAGAACAGATCGATTTTGAGGAGAACGAGAAGGATATCTGAGAGGTTTAAAAGAGAGAACTTGCTATCCTCGATTGAACTATTAAACCCCTGAGTTCATAAGCTGACAAAATATATAGAAAAAAATGAAAATTAAATCAAAGTTAGAACAAAGAAGAAACAAAATCCGAAGAAAACCGCCAAACGAATGGAAATGGAAAACGGAAACGTTTTCTCGTACGTGTTCGGAACAGAATTACGAACCTGCCACCGGATTTCTTTTGAAAAGGCGTGTACTATTTTTTCATTTATTTTTTTTGCCGTTTTGTCAAATAATCTAATATTTGTGCATATAATAATAATGGGTATTATTTTCGTCGTTTATATTTTACGTGAAGTTTATCTTTCAGGGATTATTAAAAGGTTAAGTAATAAAGATAATTGATTAAAATTTAGAATTTATTGAATAAGAATTAGGATAATATAATTAGCGTAGAGATTAGGAGAATTAAAGATTTGTGAATTCAAGATATTGATTTTAGGAATATATGAATTATAAATGATCATAAAAAAATTATCTTCATTGGGCACGAATCTCAAGGCAAAATCAAATTAGAAACTTCAAAAGTTAAATCTGGGATCACCTGAACTCAGATTTCAGCAAACTTACAATCGAACTGAACATCTCAAATATATGAATCCAACATCAAATTCAACCCAATCCCAGCTCAAATGGGTCCAAATCAAAGACCCGAAGTGTATTTGGATGGTTCAAACCATAATTTGGATTACTAAACGTGACATTCTTATACTAGAATCGAGTGGCTCGACGGACAAATCCAACGAGCCTAAGATCACTGAATTCTGATATCATTAAGACATTCAAATGCCGAATAAACGATCCACGATCAAGGGATTCAACATAGGTCATCCATTCAAACCACTCCCAATTTACCCTTGATCTTCCCCTTCCTCCTATTTACTAGTTATGTTAGTCTCAGAAAAGTATAAATAGACCCCCTCATTCCTCATGAAAGGGGAAGGAGGAAGGGTACTCGAGCAAACAGGGGGGTTGGGGGCGTGAAGCAAAGAAGAAAGGAAGAGAGTTTTTTTTCCACCAAACTCCTCGACCACCGCCGAACATATCCCCAACCTCCAACTAACGCCGGACTTTTGTCCGGCCACCGACTGACGCCTAACTTCTTTCCGGCCATCAATTGACTTCAAACTTCTTCCTAGCTGCCAACTAACTTTGAACTTTTGCTCGACGGTTGATTAACACCTAAATTCTTCTCGGCCACCAACTAACATTGGGCTTCTGCCCCGCCGCCAACTATGATCTTTCCGACCTCCGTCACCAGATAATGAAACTTTCGACCTTTGTCGCCCGCCGACTACGAGCCTTCCGACTTTTGTCGCTCACCGACTACAATCCTTTCGACCTCCATTGTCAAATAATGGTCCTTCTGACTTCTGTAGCCTACCGACTATGGTCCTTCTAATCTCTATCTCCAGATAACGATCTTTTTGATCCCCGTCGCTCACCGACTATGGTCCTGTCGACCAAACGAACATATCAATATTGATTCTTCCAAATTTCACAATGTAATGCATTATATATGATGTATATTTGTTACATCAAGCCAATGTCTTCCCCTCAATGAAGGGCCTCTTTTATAATCAACTATTTAATATGTAGCCAAGATATTTACTTATTTAATATGATTATTAGAATGCATGTTAGTGAAACATTTTCACTATAAGGCTTTGCTATTACTTCCACCCATAATTTTGATGTGATTGCTGTTATATTATTATGAATATTTTATCACATTATATATATGTTAAGCATGTGTACTAGACACTGACACAAAGTTAACATTGATATGTTATTTTTGAGCATGTGATATATAAATATAATTATTTTTATATGATTCTACTACATTAATATGATTTTGATAGTCTTTACTGATATTTTGATTTGATAATTTATATAATTTTTTTACTGGTTATAGTATTGATATGCCAATTGTTTTAGTGATTTAACATTTGTACTATTTTACTAATTTTGTTATTGTATTGATATATGATCATGTAAATGCTACTGTTATGATTTGACTAATAACATGCATATTACTCCTTTACCTTTTATTGAGTTTGGTTATAGGATTTGGTTGTTTATTCGGCTTATGAGCTCATTATATGTGTTTAAATATTTGTAGGTCAAAACATAAAATCAGGAGTGTAAGGCTAACCAGGATTCTTCAAGTTTTATTTTAGATGTTCTTTTGTTCCCACGAAAGAGTAGTTATGATATGATTATATAGATCTTGAGTAGTGTACATGATTTTTTAGAAAATAAATATATATGTATATATTAATATTTTAATTAATAATTTTTATTGGTATTTAAAGAAATTAAGTAGCTCCGATTATTGTTAATTAAAAGATAAAAGAATAATTATTCTAAATTAAATTATAGGGCATAACAATTCGTATCAAAGCATAGTTAGTAGAAGAATTAATTGTTACAAGAGCTGTAGGATTTGATTGAGAATTGGGTACGATGGGTAATTTATGATGTATTATTTTGCATACAAAATTGATTGTATGTGTATTAATCAGATTATACTAAATCATATAGGTAAACAATCAAAATGGATCCATATAGTTAAATATATCCAATGAGCAACACAGTGCAGCTCTAGTGCCATTAGATAGTGTGATACAGTTGGCTACTATTATAGCACATGTAATAGGGATGTATATAGTAAGTCAACTTAAAGCAAAAAAGTAAAAGGGAGACATGCATTTATAGATATTTCATAAGTTGAAGCCTCCATTGTTCAAAGGAGCTGTATGACCTTGGGCTATAGAAGACTAATTATTGAAGATATAAAAGATCTTTAATAGAAAGCAGTATCATGAGAGCTGAAAGGTACCATTGGATATGTTCCCCTTTGAAGGAGAGACTGAGAGATGGTGGATTGGGCAACATAGAGAGAAATTTAAGGAAAAGATAAATGTTGAGATCACTTGTGATAAGTTCATTATAGTATTTAGGATGTGGTTTATACCTCCTTCAGCTCGACGACATATGCAGGAAGCTTTTATTATGTTGGAGTAGTGACGCAAGACAGAGTTGTAGTACGAGGTTGAGTTTACTGTACTAGCTAAGTATGCTTCTCACTTGATTGCTACTACCAAGAAAAAGTGCTACATGTTTTTGCAAGGGTTGAATAGGGAGCTGAGACATTCATTAGTACCTTTACATATTTAAGAGTTTTCTAAGTTGGTGGAGCAGGCCAGACTGATGGAGTTTTATTTGGTAGTATCAACATTCATATATGAGGTGAGCTCCAAATATGATGTCAGCATGAGGAGGAATAGCGATGAACTAAGCATAGGGAGAGAAAGAAAGAGAGAGTGTGTGTGTGAAAATAAAAGAAAGTATAGTGATTGAGGGGATCTGCATAATAGTATTTATTGGAAGCTATAACGAGTACATTCATTTTGGTTGATGACATGCATATGAGTTAATGCTAATTATTGCTAGGGCAATGTTTTCACTATGGACGATAAAGAAATAAGGTAGCAGACTATCCTTAAAGAGAATTTGGAGGAATAACTGATTTTAGTGCATGACTCTAGACATATTGCAGGACAAATGACTATAGGGTCAAGATCATATAGTGAAAGATCAACCAACATGGAGGATGATTGAGCTGTGAGTGGTAGTCAAAGGGAGATTATTACACTACAACTGACTGCACCTACTCCAGTGATGCCATATGTGTGCAACTTATATTATATAAAAGATAGACAATATTCTGAAAGTCCTACTAGTAAGAAATTTATTTAAATAATTAAATAACATATCATATCATGCATAATTGAATGATATATGATAAAATGAACCGCATGACTGTATAATTTTTTATGAGTTTTGACTTAAATTGAGTTTTGATTATATATATTTGATTTATATTGATTTTGTGGTCGAATCCTTAAGAAAAATATTATGGCCAACATTTTTAAGGTGGGTAGATTGTAATAATATATATTTTGACTGTATCAAATTTTTTTGGAGTCAATATAAATCCAAATCACAAGTCATCTTTGCCATAGTATTTAACTATTTATATTATAGTATTTTAGAAATATATATTATTTTATAATTTTTAGCACTAGTGAAAATCCTTAAGAAATTGACACATGTCGGTATAAGTGGAAT